TGATTCAATCAGAGTCCAGAACTGCACTGAGCCTGGGTTCTTAACTTCTAGATTCCCAAAGAGCAGACAGTCTATATACTCTATGTGACATTATCTGTAACTCTGTGAAATCTTTTTTCTCCACTAGTAGAGTCACCAGTGTTACTGAGAAAACAAAGCTTGTCTCTGCTTCAGTCCAGTGTCAGTTGTGAAGCCTTCAATACATGAATAACAGTGAATGAAATGATTAATTACCAGTAGGGGCAGTGGTATTTGTGTGATCCATGGTGAATATGGTGACCATTCAAGAGCTCTGATAGTGTAGTCTGTAGGAAGTTGCACTGCTAACGCAAATATCATCCCTTTCTGATGGCAGCTTCATGGGAGAACAGTAGTCATCCTCCTCCCAGGTGATTTATAGTTTTGCAAACTCAATGGAGGATCAGCTATGAGTTGGTACTGACTCAAATAAAATTAGTTTTGAGAGTTGGGTATTATGCTAATCTATGAAACATCATATCCAAAATGAAATAAGAGATTTTTTTTTATCACTTTAACATATAATGGTCATGAATCCTTTCTCTTCCTCTTGAGTTTTATTTGATGTTAACTGTTTGGCACATTACTTGGTAAGTCAGAGGTGAGCCATTCAAATACAATTTCATTATAGAAAAAATTTCAAAATAGGCTCAGTTATGTTCCTCTTATTTGACCAAATTATTATGCTTCTGTTGTTTGTTGTTGTTTGGTGCCGTCGAGTCGTAGACGACTCATAGCAACCCTCTGAACGAACGGCCTGAGCACTGTTCATACATAGAGTTTCTGGAGGCAAGCCATTTCGGAAGTGGATGCCGCTCCTGCTTCCAGGCTTGATTTAGTCGGGAAGCTCCAGCCACTGTCCACTATGGGTAACCGTTATCATGATTGGCCCATCACTGTCACAGTCTTCAGCATCGCAGCAACCACGAGTTACCTCTGTACAGCAATGCACAGACCAGCGCTATACCACCTAGAAGAATGATTATGGTTCTGCTAAGGAAGAAAATAATATAGGGGGAAGAAAACCAACCCAGTGAATGTAGAAATTAGGTTAAACAAAATAAACTGGTCAAAATCTCCTAAGTTTTGTGGGTAGCCCTCTGTTGTTTCCCACCTGGCCTACAGCACAAGTCTCTATAGAAATAAAGATATTAATATTGCAGTAGGTCATTGCTTTATGTCACCCAGATGTTCACATAGTGGGACTGAGGACAGGGCAGATCTTGGTCCCTGGCTCCTCGACTGAAGAGCATGGGCTGCAAGTAATTATACATTCAGTGTCCTCTCTTATTCTTGTTAATAGAAGGTCTTCTCTTTGTACTCCTGTGACTTCTGCCTTGTTTTATCAATTAGACTGTCAGTCTCTCCTTTTCCCTTCATTTTTCACACGGACTTGAATCAACCTTTCTTCACCTACAGGTCATAACACATAAACTGCACACTCCCAATGTTCTGACACATCCAGTTATTAGGTTGCCCTGAACTGATTCTCTTCTCTGATAACACTGAAGATTTGTGACACTGATGCTCTTGCTTTATTGAGAGGCAGGAAGTAATCTTGGTGATTCCCACCAGGCTGCTGTGAGGACAGGAGTGCCTCAATAACATAAAGTGATTTCCCCCTCTTCTTGTTTCAGGTTCAATGGATCCAAATGACTTCCTGAGGGAGGCACAGATAATGAAGAATCTAAGACATCCAAAGCTCATCCAGCTTTATGCTGTTTGCACTTTAGAAGATCCAATTTATATTATTACAGAGTTGATGAGACATGGAAGTCTGCAAGAATATCTTCAAAGTAAGTGAAAGACTTTATAAAAAAGGAGGAATTTTGTTTAGCCAGTCCTATAAATGTCAATTTAGCAAGCCTTCTATAACCTAAAGGATATTTACTGTGTGCATCTGTGAGAATGAATGGTTTAACATTGAATGGCTCAACTACTCTTTAATAGCATATATACAGTGTATTCAAAGGGAGGAAAAATATTTATGTAATCGAAGAGCAAATTGTTCACAATAGATATTTCAGAGTACTTAAGTGCAATGTGTGAAATTGAGGAATTGATGTCCTTTGTTTCCTGCAATAAATTGGACATGGTAATTCATGCACTAATATTGGCTATGGCCCAGAGTTAAGGCCATGAAATTCTTTGGAGGAAACAGAGTGGTAACTTTGTTGTTGTTGCTAGTGTGTGTACGTAGGTGTGTGTACACATTAGGACACTATTTTTTCACTAGTTAGGATTTAAAACACTAGGCAGCACTAGAATTTTCAGACTAAAAAGCAGACATATACTGTTGCCTCCTTCTTGTATCTGCTCCCTGCACTCAGAGAAGACTTAAAGGCATTGTGAAATTTTGATGTTTATGACAAAAGAATAATTTAATAAACAATAACATAATAAACATTGAGATGAGATGTTCAAAGTAGTTGAGATCAAGTACTGAGAGAATAATATGCATCTGAAAAGGAGACGTTTTCCATTCTTTCTTAAAATTTCACAGTGGGGTTGATAAAAGGCATTCAGGTGAAGAGGGGTCAAGATTTAGAAAGATAAAATCTTTTGGTTTCAGGGCAAATTATGAAGCAGGTAATATTAAATTGTAAAACTAGATTAGGGTAAAGAGCATAAGGCTTGCTAAATGCTATTAAAAGAAAAATATACTGAGCTCACTTGCATAGAGATAGCAAATTTAACAGTATCAGGATATGCTACCTGCAAAGATTAATAGCACAGAAAGACTGACCTCTGCAATTGACCCCTTTTGTCTTACTCTCTGAGACAAAGCACAGGGAAATTGTGGGTCATCTCTCAGAAAATGCTTTGTCAAGGTCACTCAGAACATTCACATCATTAAATCTAATTCATGGTCCTTGATATATCAGACACATTTGATTCAGTGGCCACTTGCTCTCAGGGAAACCTTTTTTCTCCCCCACTTGACTTCCAGAGCACTTGGTAACTTTTCACTCCTTTTATTCTTGGTTCTTCTTAGTCTATGTAATTTCCTTATCTCTCAGAACTTCCAATATCTTGGAGTTCTCCAGGAATTGTTGACCACATCACGGGTTGCTTTGTTAGTAATACTCAGTCTTATCAGTTAATATAATTTATATTTTGATGAACTGCCAAATTATCTCTTCCTTTCTTCCAATTTATAGGTTCAACTGATTTTTAAATTTTCCATCTGAATATTATTATATTCATCATAATATGCATCTGATATGGCAACAGCTAATTTCTAAATGATAAGAGGGTTAACATAAGTGCCTATTTCTTGTTCATTCTACACGTATAATATAGGTAGGCTGCTGGTGCTGCTTTTTTGATGACTTTGGCAAGGGGAAGGGATATAATTCATCTCCATCTCATGGTGGCAATTCTGACTAGAAGTGACAGAAGAAATTTCTGGTCTTTTACTTTTGTCCAACTAAGTAGGGAAAGGAGATCTTAATGTGATTGAAAAGAGAATAAATACATGCCGGTGAATAATCTTATCTCTACTGCTATTTGTATCAGGCAGCTCAAAGTAATATACTAAAAAACTGTCTCCTTGAATTCTCCCTCATAATCTGGTTGTAGTCTTTCCTGACAATTGTCAGTGTTTAGATTTTCTATCTTGAATTCATCCTTACTTCCTCTCACATTCCATATCTTACTGTTTGTTTGTTGTTATTCTTCTCTGTCAAGTCACCTGTGACCCATAGCAACCCTATGTATAGCAGCTTTGAGCCCTTTCTGGACCTCAGCCAGTCTCACTAATTCCAATACAGTTAACCCCATTGCCCTAGTTACTGTATCAATCCATCTCATCTGGGTCTTCCTCTCCTGTGCTGTCCCTTTATCCTTTTCAGCATGATGCCTTTCTCTAAGGACTGGTCTCTCCTGACCACATGCCCAAAGTAAATGCAACAGAGCTTCAAAATCCTAGCCTCCAAGGAGAAACTTGTTTTCACCCTCTTCAAGACAGACCTATATGGTTTCTTGGCTGACCATGATATGTTCAAGACTCTTCCAGCACCGCAGCTCAAAGGCATGGATTCTTCTTCTGTCATCCTTAGTCAATGTCCAGCTTTCTGATGCATAGCAAGTCATTGCAACGACCATGGCCTGGATTAGGTGTACCTTAGCCTCTAAACTGAGATTGTTGCTTTTCAGTATTCTGGAGAGGTCCCTGACAGCAGATTTTTCCCCAATACAATTCATCTTTTGATTTCCTGACTGCTGGTGCTAAGAGTGTTGATTGTGGAGTCAAACTGTAATTGTTAACAATATCACTCTCTTCTCCATCTGTCATGGTTCTGCCAATAGGCCCAGTGGTGAGAATATTTATCTTCTTGATTTTGAGCTTCAATCCATATTGAAGGCTACAGTCCTTGACCTTCTGCATCAAGTGCTTCAGGCCCTCCTCAGTTTCAGCAAGCAAGATTGTGTCATCTGCATGACTCAGGTTGCTGATGAGTCTTCTTCTAATTCCGATTCCACATTCTCCCTCAAAAATCCCTGCTTCCTGAATGATATGTTCTACATATAGACTGAAAAGGTATGAAGACAGGATGCATTGCTGACACACTGCTTTCCTTATTTTGAACCATGCAGTGTTTTCTTGCTCTGTTCTGAGTATTAACTACATCTTGGTCCAAATAGAGGTTACATGATTTATGGTGAAGAGACTGAGATTGTTAACAGCTTTAGTTTGCTTGGTTCTACAATCAGTACTCTTGGTACCAGCAGCCAGGAAATAAAAAAGATGAATTGCTTTGGGAAAGTCTGCTGTCAGAGACATCTGACATATACCATGGCATATACCACTCTCAATATACCATGGACTGCTAGGAAAATAAACAAATTCATCCTAGAGAGGGTAAGACCTGGATGCTCCTTGGAGGCATGTATTCTAAAGCTTTGTCTGACATAGTTTGAGCATGTTGCAAGGAGTGACCAGTCCTTGGAGAGGGACATCATGCTTAGGAAAGTGGAGGGACAGCGCAAGAGAGGAAGACCCTTGATGAAATGGATTGATTCAGTGTCTTGGGTAATGGGGATAGGTGTGTTGGGGACAATGGGATTGGCCTGGGATAGAGAAGGGTTTAGGGCTGATGTATATAGGGTTGCTATGAGTCACAGGCAGTTCAATAGCACATAACAACAAGGACAACAGCAACCAGTAAATATTCTTGGCAATCCTTGCAAGTAAATCCACTGTCTTACCACTTCTCAACATTTCTAACAGTCTGTTAGTAGAAGCTTGTATGTTGCTCTGATGCTGAACAGGTATCAATGGAAATTCTAAGTGCAGCTTCTAAGTGAAGATACTGACAGATTAGAAAAAGGTTTCTAGAGATCATTCAAAAATCAGCCACTGAAAATCCTGCAGATGACAATGTTCTGAACTGAAACTCCTCATGGACATAGTACAGGGCTACCTAGTGTTTTCTCCCATTGTGCACAAGGTTACATTTTGACAGCAGCTAACAGCAGCCATATTCCTACTTTGGTCTAAGCTAGCATTGGTTCTCTCTTCCGTAAAGAGCTTGCCTCTGGAAACCCTATGAACCTGGAGAAAAGATGAAAGTCATGCAAGTGTTGAGCACTTTCATTCATAGGGTCACGATGAGTCACCTACGACTCAACAACACTTAACAACCACAACAACTTAGGATAGGATAGGTTAGTGTTCAGATCTGTTGTTCATATTGTTCACTATGGATTGTACTCCACTTGATGATACCTAACAACAACATTAATGTTAAAATAATTTACTGTATTTACAATTAGTACATAATCAATAGTAAAGTATAGATTATGGCTTAGTCATAAGAAGTTGTGTTGCCAACCCCAAAGTACACAGTTCTAATATAGCAGGTGTTCTCTAGAAGAAAGATGGGCAATGTCCTCCTGTGTAGCTGCTTGCCTCTAAAACCCTGCTGGACGGTCAGCCATGAACTGGTTCTGACTCAATGATACGTCACAGCGTGTGCACACACATGCACAAATATATTTTGTTGTTATATGCTGTCAAGTTAACTATAGCTCATAGCGACCCTGTGAACAAATATTAGAATATTATGCTATCCTATTCCATCCTAGGGTCTCTGAAATGCTCAATCCCATTGCAATTGTCATGTGTTATGAAGTAAATCCTTTTAAAATTAAAAAGGCTTGTCAAAAATCTTTAAGGTACTTGCTTAATTGTTACCAGGTGTTTCTAACTAAAATTTAAAGAGAATAAACATACGTGATGTCTTCAGTTAGAGTTACTTTCATTTAGGTAACTATTTAGAGAACACCTGATATGTGTCAGGCATTTAGACACTTTTTAGAAATAGCTTTGTTTTGTATATTAAGCCCTTGAATATTATTCATCATTTTCTTAGTTTACCCAAGACTGAAGTAGACAGGAATACTTTCAATGAGATACTCATTAACTTCATACAGCTATGATAATTAGTGTTGGTACAGTGATGTCTCTACTAGTCTCTAACTTTTGGACACTCAGTTGTTGTGTGTAACTTAAGTTTAGGAAGTGTAGGACATTCTTGAAAGCACAAGACCTTAACTTTAGGCGGGAATAGTCTACATGCTATGTAATGATAATAACAATAATGTCTTATAGTTGTTTAGGAATGTTTTTGTTATGTGTCATCGAGTTCCTTTAATATGAATTTCATCTCAACATCAGGGGGAAAATCATCAGCACCAGGCCAGTAGGCAGCATCGTGATTATTGTTGTTGTTAGATGCCATTGAGGCAAGTATGACTCATAGTGACGCTATGAACAAGCAGCTTAAGCCCT